CACCTCACATCCAATTCAGATCATAATCTACTGCAAATGCCAAATGTTGTTTGGGGTGGTGGAGTTTCCCCCAGTGCAGCCGGAAGCCCAGCGCTCCAAGGTTGCAATCGACAGGGACTAATAGCCACCTCCTAAACTGCTATCATAGATGTTTTCTCAACATTTGTGTGTCTGCATCTTGCTTTTAATCATCATCACCACCATCATCATCATCCTCCCAAGTAATGCCTTTCATCTGGGGTTTGATTTCCAGCAATTGCATTGTATATATGCAGGGGAAGGGGGGAAGAGAGATGCCATTTCAGGTTGTGATTTGAAGGTCCACTGCAGCTTTGATGCACCAATTAAATTAAGCCATATGGGAGTAGTAGTGGCTCAAGAGGACCTGGCCAGCATCTATGAGGAGGAAGAGATGGAGGATTTCCCATCTGAAGTTACTGCTCCTTGCAGACTTTCAAAGAACAAGAAGCAGCCTCAAATATGGCAAGCAAAATGATGCCCAGTTCAGATTTTGCAGAACAGAGCTATGTTTAAAGCAAATAAAAGTAGAGGGTTGCATCCAGAGCCAGTATGGGTTTGTGGTTAGACTTGGGAGAGAACAGGGTTTAAATCCCCACTCAGCCATGAAGTTTACCTTGGGCCAGTCACCGCCACTCAGCCTAACCTGCCTCACAGGGTTGTTGCGAGGATTAAATGGGGAGCCAAGAGAACCACGTGTAACACCTTGAGCTCCTTGGAAGAAAGATGGGTGACAAATGCAGTAAGCAAACTAACTAAGCGGACATATTGAAATTAATGGAACCAAGTTAGTCATGTCCATGAGCTTCAATGAGTCCACTCTGAGTAGGACTATCATTGGATGTCACCCAGAAGTGAACTGTTTCTGGACTGCTGAAGGCAGAAATGAGTGTCCATAGATGTTTCCAGCCTTCCTACCTGCAGAGAATGCTTCCCCCATCCGCTTGACTTGGCAGGGTCCTGCATCTGAGCTGAGGAATCCCACAGTCAACCAAAGACATTGTGCTACTGAAGAGAAGACAGTGCTGCCTCCATACCTCAACCCACATCGTATCCTGATGCCAGCTGTACTGGCAGCTGGATCTTTCTTCAACATTGATTAGAGAATAGTTTCCTCAGTCCTACTTTTCGGAGTGCAGGGCATGCAGCAATGTGGCATACACAGCTTTGTCTTCCAGCAAAGCAGAATGCTCTGCGACCTCAAAAGGAACACCCAGAGGGCCTGGTCACTGCTGGCCCTTTATGATACATCAGCATCTGCTACCTGAGGCAGCCACCTCACTCTGCCCAATGGTAGAGTTGGCTTGACCCTGAGGAATCATTTCACATTCCAGAGGATTCTGAGAGGTGTTTTGTGCATGCACATCTAGGACTGTATATGATTTGATTCATCCTCAGAGTTGTTCCTCTGTTTAAACAGAGTTGTTTAAAGCAGATTTAAAGAGCATGGGATTTAAAGAATCCTGGGAACTGTAGTTTATTTGGTGTGCTGGGTACTGTGGGAGTAAACTACAGTTCCCATAATTCTTTGGGGGAAGCTATATGCTATAAAGATATAGGGTATATATGGCCTCAGAGTAGGATCTGCTCTGAATGTGACTAGTGCTGGATACAACCCGAAGACATTAATTTGTAATTAGTTAACTAATATGTCACCTTTCTCCAGGGGGCATAGCTGGGATTTCCATCATGGTCTCCCATCCAGGTATTGACCGGATCCAGGCCTGCTTAGCTTCATCTGTCTAGTTGTATGGTGTGCCCCCGGAGTATGTAACAGGATCAATAAGCTCAAATATGCTGGACTGTGGTTTTTGACCAAGAACACGTTTCCTGTATGATGCCAGACATCTTCTCGGTTATATTTGCTGTTCTGCTTCTCCAAACACATCTTTTAAAAAATGTGCTGGGATTCTATTTTAACTCTAAAACACCTGAAAGCATTCTGAAAACACGTCAGGGAGTAAAAAACAACAACCCCAAGCTTAGAGTGATTTACTCTAAAGTGTACACCTTTAGCATTGCCTCATAACAATCACATATTTTAAAATGCGGACTTTTAAAGCACATATTAACCTGGAGTTGTCCCTTGAGAAATGCCATTTTAGCACTGAAGAGCCCTGTTGTAAATAATCTATGTGCTTCTCCTGATTCAGACAATGCATTTAAGATGATCCACTTTGCCTGCCCCCCCCAACCGTTAACAAATTATTCCTCTCTGTTATTTAGTCAAAGGAAACTTAGCTTTATTAAATATCCTCACTTAACTATCCTATCCTGTTGACTGCCGCATTGATTTTAATAGAAGCACAGATTGATCCATTGGCTAAAAGCATGGCAATCAATTGGCGGGCAAAGCTCCTTAATCAGTGGATGGTCCTGTCTAGGAGGAATATCACGGTTTCCACATAATCAATATTACAAAGTAATAATCATGCTGGCCAAATTAATGAGGGGGGACACACAAAAGAAAATGAGTTTTGCATCTGTAAACTTAATCAGAACACCTGAAGAGGCAGCTTACAAAAGCTGTGAGGCTGCATTGACATTTGTCTCAAATTTTAATGTTAAATACTCAGAAACTCTGTGGTTAATTCTTTAGATGATGCTGAGAATACCACCTCTAACCATTCAGGGTGGAAACTGCAGCCAGAGGAAGATGATTTTCTACCACCTGAACTGGGACTTTGCACCCTCCACTCCAACCATTTGATAACACATTAATTGACTCTTTTACTTAGAACCCCACCCAGAATTATTTTCTGGATTTGCTAACATACAGACTGCTATTTTCCTTTTTATTTCCACTCTTTGGAATGAAGTGTAACAGCTCATGTTATGGCTACAACACCCAGCCTAATTTCTGTGCCTCCCTCTACCCCTTCTCCTGCTTTGAGGAACCTCTTGCCTGATGAAGAGTTTTTGGGAAACATGAAAACTTACTTTTGTGACATTTTTTGTTGCTGCTTCTAATAAAAGTATTCCCCAATTGTGGATTTTGGAGAGCTGTCCCCTTTTATGGGCCAGCACAGCTACCAATGTTTCCTATAGTGCATGAGATATTTGTATGGTGGGGAGGACTATGCTATGCTTTATAAATCAGCTTTGCTGGATTAGATCAAAGTTGCATTTCATTTGGTGCTCTGCTTCCTCCAGCAGCAAGCCAGATGGAAGCTCCAGGAAGCACAGAAACTGGGCATGGAGGTAACCAACAGCCTTGCTTCTCCCCAACATCTGGAATTCAGGGGAAGGGAATGCCATGAGCTGAGAAATCCACACACAACAGACAACATGGGGGGGGGGACTCCATTTTGCAGGGGAGGTTGGAAAGTTCCCTCCTGGCAAAAAAAGGACATCGTAAAAACATGGGTAACCTGACCTCTTCATCAGGCAAAGTGGAGAGGGAAGGAGACTTCTGATCCCCTTCAAATGATGGTGAGAGTTTTGATACAGGGATCTGTGTACCCAGAAGTCTTGATGGAGCTGTTAGCACCGTCTTCTAAGTTGATGTCATTGCATTGTTAACATCTGCAAGAGGGGTAGGTGGAAGTGATGCAGATGACATGGTTACCAAAGGATGCTGCAAATAGTAATTTTTTTCAAGATCTTAGGGCAGCAAATCTCCCTGAACAGGGCAAAACCTCTCTTGAAGATGAGAGAAGCTTCAGAAACAGTTTGTGAGCTAGCATGGGAATCAGTTGATTCAAGAGTAAGCCATACTTACCTGGGAATAAGGCCCATTGAATTAAGTAGAACTTCATCTCAATAAACACATATATAATTAGTTAGGCAGACAATAATTTATTTGGGTAAGCCATAAGCCATAACAAAATAGAAAGCAAAAAACCTCAATCAGAGTTGAGCCACGAATGTAGCTCTTAATTTACTGGCTTAATTTCCAGAACAAATAAGTAAACATACAAAGTTACATAATTTTAATTATCAAACAGCACACACACACACACAAATATATATATATATCCTGAGATCTTGATACGCATGATGTCAGTCAATTGGCTATGTCTATACCACAGTTTGGGATTTAGTTGTAACTATCTTAAGTCCATGAGGTGTAACTGTGGTTGATTTTTGGCTGAATTATCCCCCATTAATTTAAGAAGCCTAGCAACATGTAGAATTGAGAGCCAGCGTGGTGTAGTGGTTAGAGGCTTGGACTAGGAGCTGGGAGACCAGGGTTCAAATCCTCTCTTGGCCAGATGAAGCTCCCTAGGTGACCTTGGGCCAGTCACTGTCTCTCAGCCTAAACTACCTCACAGGGTTATTGTACATGGTTCTCTCCCTTAATCCCCACATCACCTTGAACTCCTTGGAGGAAAACGTGGAATATAAATGCCTAAAAAACAAACAAAATTGCAGTCCAATTTGGGGATTGCAGTCCAATTTGATGGGCTGCACAGCTTTTTGGATTCTGCCCAGGTTGGTTTTTTACTGACATTCACATTCATCAGAAAGCACACTTGTGTTGTTGTGAAGAAACCTAAGGACCTAAGTTAACTTTCTTAAAGTATCTTGTACCGCAGGTAAGCCTTTTCCCATTCCAGTCGATTTGCCTAGCCCACAATTTGTACCTCTCGAAACTGACATCGTCCTTCTGGAACGTTTGCCTCCTCACCTGAAACAAGCATATTCCATACCAGAACTGTAATAAAACAGCGGAAAAGAGCAAATTAAGAAGGCTCCGTACAAGAGTCTGATTGATTTGGGCCGATCTGATTATTTCCCTCTGCAGGTCGGATGTGATAGCTGTAAATCTCCAGATGAGCAGTTTGCATCCAAGATCCGGGGGCAGCTGAGGTGTGAAAACGAGCAGGCAAAAAACAAAAGCGAGAAAAGCCAACAAGAGGGGGCGGCGGCGGGGGGGGGGAGGCCACTGAGTAAAATACTTTCACTCTTCACTGCTTATGACACTGGTCAATTTCATCCCTTTCTCGTGTTTTTTTTTTGTTTTTGTTTCTGGTTTTTTTAGGTAAGCACCTCCTTCACTTGGGTGCTTCCCCCACCTGTTCTCCCTCTCTCTCTCCTCAATTGACATTGCTTATGATTCAATTATAAGGCTAAAAGCTGAGCTGGCTGAGCAATGATCAATTATTAGTTGTCAGTAATAATGGCGAAGCATTCGATTTTGGCCCTGGCGTTCTGCAGGATGATCATTAGAAAATAAATCAAAAAGGGGGGGGGGACGGGACGGGAGGGGGATAGGGGAGCTATCGACGGCCCGCTTAAAATAAGGGGGAGGTCATCTTTCCCGCCCCCTTTTCTCTCCCCCGCCCCTCCTCTGTCAAAGTCGAGGGGCTGAAATGAACCGCTTGATCACAGGAGATTGATAGGGAAACAGGCAATTTCAGGAAACAATTTTCGTTGCATCTTCTGGAATGGCGACAGAGCAAACTCCAAAGTCTCTCGTGGAAGTTTGATGTGCATCTTTGAAAGCGCCGAAGCTCCCATTTTTATTTATTCGTCTCTCTTTATACAGAACTGGAAGTCTCCTGTCTGTTCAAGATACGGAGGCTGACATAGGTCTTTTTTTTGCACAGTTAAGGTTAAATTCAGCACTGCAGAATAATAAATTTGCCCAACATTCCCCCAAAACCAGATATTGATATGGAGATTTTGCTTAACTGATTTCTCTCTCCGGCCACAGCTAACAACACGCGTTTTCCCCCCCCAAGCGCTAACATAACTGCGAAAAATATTTTACAAAATAATACTTTACAGTATATGTTTTCCTACTTTCCCTCCACATGGAGGTTTAACATGCGCAAAATTTTGAAAAGGCAACGTGGGATATTTTTGACATCTCCCGCAATGTACTCTGGAATGACTTCAGTAAATAAATGTCAATAAATTCTCCTATTTTTGCGCTGCGGCGGTGACGAGTTAATCTGATGGCTTTGCGGGATTCGTGAGCGCCTGTTTCACGACGGAGGCGGCTGTAGAAACGCTTCGGTGGAAATGTGTGCAGTTTTGGGGTGTGCCTATTTTAAATTCAAAATTTGAAAATTAAATTTTATTTTTTATTATATATATATGTGAGTGTGTGTAGATATAGACATGTTGATATTAATAACGTTTTTGACATTTTGAAGTCAACCGGAAGATGTCTATCTCAGAAGTTGCTAGAGGCGCATGGAAACTTAGAAGTGAAGTGTGTTTTCTACAAACGCCAGAAATCGCAGCTGGATTTTTCAAGACCGGGAAGCGGCGTAGGAAATCGCCCTCGGAAAATCAATGGGCTTTCCCACCCACCCCCGCTCTGGCCGCGGAGCGATGCCTTCATTATTAAACTCCGCGCGGGCTCTGTGCCTTTTTAACCCCTGAGCGGTAAAGGTTGCTCTGCCTGATCCCGAAGCGTAAGAACAATGATCCGGAGCAAAGGTGCGTCGCATTGCCTCTCTCCGCCGGCCTGAGCTGCAAATTATCCCCGTGTTTGCAGGCTCCTTCCAAGACTCCCTCCGCGCGATCGATCCCCCAGTGCGGCTGTCTCTCCTATCGCGGGCTTGATTTGCATTGAAGAGAGTGATCCCACCTTCACAGACCCATCAAATCCTCAGGGTGAAGGAGGAGGAGATCTTGGAGAGAGGGTGAAATCTCTTGCATTTTGCCATCTCCCTGGGGGATGGGGGAGGGGACCAGATCGCGGTCTTTACGTGTGTAAACACTTCCAACTCCTGTTCCAAGCAATGACGTTTAATTGAATGATTGCTCGCAGGATACAATAAAGGCCGATTCTTCTTTCTCTGTGAAAACAGCGCTGTTTTCTCCTAACACACAGCCCTTCACCCCCCGCCCTCCCTCCGAGCAACCCCCCTCATCCTCCCCCGACATACCCTAAGCAAAAGGGAAGAAAAACCAGCAAGAAATAACCATCCTTGTAGTCCGAACGCAGGCATGTTTACTTGGAAGTAAATCGCACGGAATGCCATGGGCTTTCTCCCGAGGATGCCCGCACAGGATCTGCAGCCTTAAATTAAGCACCAGGCAATTTCTTTTTGTTTGTTTCTTTCTGCTGGGATATGATTAAAAAGGAAAACCTCAACTTTCTCCATTTGCTTGTTTTTCACTTTAAATGGCTTTCTGCAGCTTTCTCATTTTTCTTGATAGTTTGGAGATCTCTCTCTCAAATAGATCGATATATGTATATATATTAATGGCCATTGTGAACTTTGGTCGTATTTTCAGCGTCCTGGGAAGTCTGAATCAGAAATACACTATTTTGGAAATTTTATTTTGTCATGTCTAGTAAAAGAAAAAACGGTGCGATGTCGAAAGATAATTTGCATCCTAGGGGGAAGAACTTTTGGGAAAGAAAAGAGGCGGTGTGGGGGAAGCAAGCTATTTGACAACAACAACAACAACAACAACACCCCAACCTTGTGTAATGTGGTTGCAAATGCGAGTTAATTTCCAGCGCGTCTCTAGCTTGCAAGAACTTGGAAGGGACCTAAAGACTTGCTTGGCCAAAGGCAATCCCGAATCGGGAAAGCGTAGCGACCTGGTGTGTAAATAGGTGTATACACATTGTCTGCTCCTAAGAGTGTTGTGTCTAGGGAAACACACGGGGAACAACAGCATGTAAGTTTCTCCGCCGGTTGAAATTGACAAGGAGGAGAGAGGCGCGCCCAGGAGGACGAAGGTGGTGTCTGATTCCCTGCCCGAGTATATTCATCTCTGCCGAAGCATGTCTTTAAATATTCAGTGCAAAATAATGACATCCGAAGAGCGCGTTATTATCTTCATTTTTCAACATCTTCTCAAGCTGATGGCTCCGTTTGTCTTTTGATCAAACTCTTACTGTACCCAAGAAACCGCTGTTGCGGGGGGGAGGGAGGGAAGAGACGGGAGGAGAAGAAGCGAGAAATATCTGTCTATACACACACTTCCAAGAGAGATCCTTGCAAGAGAGGCATCGCCCAATTCTATCCATTGGTCAGCACGCCTTTATGCTTTTGGAGGTGCGCATCGCCTCCCACCCACTTGGTAAACGCTATCAGGGTTTTAGCTCTTTTAAATTAAAAAAAGCGAGGATTCTTTTTGGAATGGGGGTGGGGATGAAGTCTGGGCCAACTGAGGAGGGCAATCTTTTCCTTCCACCCAGCCCCCCTCCCCCTTTTTTAACCGGCTCATTTGAAATTGTAATGAGTTGTATTTGATCAAGCGTTTGCTATTACAGAGAGTTTGTTAATATTGATACCCAGGGAAAGAAGTCGTTTCAATCACAGAGTAAATAAGCCGGAGGAGAGGGTGGGAAAAGAGGAGGAGGAGGAGGAGAAGGAAGGAAGGAAGGGCGGAGTTGTGGCTGGGTGAGGAAAGAGGAGCGGACCTCTCCAAAGGGTTACAGGACCAGGATCCCAGTGTCAGGTGGGGGCTTAATGCGAGTTGAGAACGGATCGAAAATCTACTTTTTCTTTTAAACTGCTGCCGGGGTGTGTGTGAGAGAGGCTGGTTATTTTGTGTACAGGGGAAGAAAGGGAGAGAGAGGCCCCCTACGAAAAACCTTGAGCGTTTTGGGGAACCGGTGCCCAAAGTTCTGGAGCCTGGAAGGCGCTGAGCGGTTTTGAGGCTCGGATGGTTGCGTGGCGGTTGTTGGAGAGGGTAGGAGGGGATCCGTGGGTCCAGCCCGACATGCTTTGGAATTGGGAGCCTGAGGCTGGATCAGGAGACAGGGTACCCATTGCGGATGCGCGCGCGTGTGGAATCCAGACCTAGACGGCTATCAGTAGGCCGATGCGCTCACCATTGCGCTACGCGGCCAGGTTAAGACGCCGCGTTTCCCAAAGCGCGTTAGGGACCTTTTAACCGGAGGATCGGTTCCCTCTGTGCAAGCTGTGCAGGGCACAGGGCGATTCCCAACACGGTATGAACCGATCCCCCAAAAGCACACCAGATCGGGAGGGGAAATTAAATTATTAGGCTTTCCCTGCCCCATAAAAAAATTAAAAATCATATAAAGTTATCCGTTAATTCGAATTGCCTGAACGCGGCCGTTTCAGGCTGCGACCCGCAAGTCACTCAATCCGGAGCAGAAGAGGCGCAGGCCACTTAAGAGTTAAGAGCTTTGAGGATCGCCAGGTTTTCAACCCTCTTTTCTTCTTCTAGGCACAAAAGGGATTCTCTCCTCTCCTTTCCTGAAACACACGCCGAAGTTGTGGCTTTAAAAAAATAAATAAAAAGCAGCTCTTTGCAGGAGTGGCAATGCTTTGGGGTTGGGGAGGAGGAGAGAAGGATGAGGGAAGGTGCAGATAGTGGGAAGAGATAAGGAACAGCCCGAAGGATAGCAAAGTCTCCTCTCGGAACATGTCCGGCACCATATATACAAACACACCCCCACACAAGACACACACGGTCCACCATCAGTTTATTGGTCTTCTGCGATTTTTAAAAAAATCAACCCATTATTAACACTTATGGGAGAAATTCACATCAGATGATTAAAAGGAGGAAGGAGAGAAAGGTGAAAAATGAACAAGGCTAGGAAAGGGAGAAAAAGGAAGTTAAAGAGAAGCAAAGAAACTTTAGTTGCTCGGGAAGTGAGGGGAAATGATCAAAAAGGGAAAGTCAGTTAATATGTAACCAAAAGAGCACTTCAAAGCGCAATCCAATACACATGTATACTCAGAAGTAAATCCCACTGAGCTCAATGGGGCTTACGCCCGGGTAAGCAGGTAGAAGACGGCACAGCCTGTCAAACGAGTGGGAAGAAAGAAGAGCAAAGGAAAAGTGCAGCGTGCAGCAGTCGCCATCGCCTTTCCCCTTCGAGACCCCGCCCCCTTCCTCCCTGGCCCCGCCCCCTCCTCCCCAGGATTCCGCCAGGGAGACAAGCCCGGTCGTTTCCGCCACCAACCTCGTCCAGCCGCCTGCTCAGGGTGATTGACGCCGCTCTCAGCCAACGCCAGCCGCAGCTGCGGGGAAGCGGCCCCGCCCCCTTGGCCGCCGCCACCGCCGGGCGAGCGAGCGAAAAAGTTTGCCGCGATTGTCCTGGGAGGGCGCGAGGCTTAAAGGGCGAGCGGGCGAGCTTCCTCTTTTCAGCACCCTTCGGGGCCCGTGATGGATGGCGAGGAAGGAGGGGCGCGAGGAGGAAGGGGGGAGGGAGCAAAGGTGGGAGTTGCTAAAAACACACACGCATACCAAAATCCAAGAAATGGAACTTTTCCCCTTTTCTTGTTTTTTTGCGGCGGCATTAGCCAAAAGACATCCATACAGAAGAGGAGACCGGAGATGATTTACCAAAGGTATTACTGGGTTGGTTTGCTTCGAAAGTCCTCAAATATTGCTCTGAGACCGAAACTTTAAAATGACAGCTATCCCTGAATCGGTGCTATTTGTTCCAGCGTGGGCGATGGCGAGGCGATGGGGGCAGCAGCAGAGATGCTTCCTCGACCCGTCTCCCCACTTCTCTGTTGCTGCCCTCGTCGCCTCTCAGGACCAGCCCCTCAGTTCTCGAGGTCTTAACTAAGTGGAGACCATCATTCGCCTTTTGCCTAAACCACTTTTCTTTCTTTCTTTCTTTTGCATCAAAAGAAAGCCGAACGCTCTTCTAACAAGATACGATCCTTACTCGGAAGTAAGTCCCCCTGAAGCCCGGGAGGCTCCCGAGAGAAAACATGCAGGGTGAGATCGGGTCAGTTTTTTCAAGAAGGAAGAAGACCCTCCCTCCTCCCCAAGATCCTGCGATGCCATGCGCACTTACCTGGGAACAATCCCCATTGCAAACAGTGGGACTTACTTCTGAGTAAGCAGGGCACAGGATTTAAACCCACACTTTAAAGTTGGCTCAGATAGGATAACATTGAACACTTAAAAGTTGGCTAAAATAGGATAACATTTCCCACCCCCCTTGGGAAAAAAAGAGAGGAAGGTGGGGGGAGGGAAGCAAAACTCCTGGAACGGGAGGAAGCATCCCCAGCCAAAGAGAGAGAAAAGTTGTGGGGGGTTGGAGCGCATTCCTATAGTAACAGGAGCGGCGTGCTCAGTCCCAGCTGGTTGCTAAGAGGGTTAAAAACTGTATCCAAACAGCTTTTCTGGTTAGGCTGGGGAAGGTGGAGAGCGCGCGAACGGGGGGGTGGAGAGAGCGAGGGGGGGTGGAGCGGGTGGAACCCTTGCCACATGGGCCGGCTCATTGGGCGGGAGCGGCGGAGAGACAAGGGTCTCCAGCAAATCAGCGGCTAATTGATTAAGGCGAGCTCGTTTGAATAGAGCTGGCCCTGTGCCAATCGCCTTTCAAAGAGCCCCCTGTATGATTAATCGCAATGCATTATTGATAATCACAATTATAGTAAGACACATGCGCGGTGCGCGGAGGATCGGGCAAGCGGGAGGAGGCGGGAGAGGGAGGGGAAGCGCCAGGAGGAGGAGGAGGAGGAGGAGGAGAAGGAGGGGGGCCAGGCTCGATTTCCGTAATTTTGAGAAGATTTTTTTTTAGTAATTTTTTATTCTGCCCCAGCTGATGTTTGCGCCAGCATGTCGCGGAGGAAACAGGCGAAGCCGCAGCACTTCCAAACCGACCCCGAGCTGGCCTCGAGATCTCAGCGCAATGGTGAGCTTTTTTTTTTAAAGGGGGGTGAGCAGTTGCGTCCTGTTGGGGTGGCTTTTTTTTTAAGGGAGGGGGGACCTTTTTTTAAGAAAAAAAAAGGAAGAAATCGCTCTCGCTCGCTCTGTCCTGCGCGCGATTTCCCTCACTTCCGACCCATAGAACACTGATATATGTCTATCTCTTTCTTGTTAAAGCGAGTATGGATCCCCCCACAAACAATCGGAACAAACTTACCTTCGGGGTTAGAGACGGTGGAGGGATGAGAGAGAGAGAGAGAGAGAGGCAGAAAGAGAGAGTGAGAGAGAGACTTTGGAAGCAAGAGCGTGAAGTTGATCAGCTGGAGTTGTGACTTCTTGCGGATGGTTCGAGTCCTGGGTGGTTTCCTTCCTCCTCTCTTCCCGCCCCCCTCCTCAAGCCCCGTCGCTGCCCTCTGTGGATCTTTCCCTCGCTGGATCGTTTTCGATCTGGCAAGCGGAGACCGGATCTCTCTCAATTAGCCGCACCGCCCCCCTTCCCTGAACACGCACGCTGCCACTCGCACGTTGATCGGGAGCGGAGTTGGGGATTTCTCTTTCCCCACCTCCCCTTTGGGGAAAGATGCGCAAGTCCTTGACGGCCCCCTTCTCTTTCAAGGGGTGCATCTCTGGGGGCCTGAATCTTAAAATAAAACATCGTTTATCCAAAGATCTCTCCCCCCCCCCCATTTTTTATGGAGTCTCTTTTCGGCTTCCCTTCCCAGCCTTGCCTGAGAGAGCTGCCCTGGAATAGTGCAACTTTCCCCCCTCCTCTCTCCAACGTGAATTTTAGAGGAAGTTAAAAAGGGTTTTTTGTTTTTTTTTTAATCCCACGTTTTCCAACAGCAGGGGTAGGTGGGGGGTTGGCAGCGCCTCCTTCGCTCCCGGCTGGCCCTGATGGGTGAGTGAGAGCGAGATCTCCTTTTCCTGGCACCCGGCGCGATGCACTCCTTCCTCTTTCGTTTCCTTCATCCCCCTCTCCTCCTCGGCGTGTCCAGCTGGCCGGCTCAGCTTCTGCTCCGCCGGGCTCCACTCTCGCGTTGAATTTTCTTATCGTCGCGGCGGATCTGTGTTCGAGTTTGTCCCTTTCGGCTATGATTGCCTTTGGGGGGGGTGTATGCCGAAGGTTCTTCGGCGCGCACGGGAGACTTTGGCGATCGTGGGAAATTTCCATTTAAAGTGGTGTGCGCGCGCGCGTATCTCGGTATGTGGCGGCCTGCCTTTTAATGCCTTTGGTATTGATAATGCGGGGGGGGGGGGTAGAAAGGGGCCCCCTTTTTTACCTGTGCCTGTGAAAACCGGGTGAGTTTCTGAATTTGGGGAAGGGGGCGGCGAAGCCCGCGAAGAGGCCTGTCGCTGCGTGCATGGATCATCAGCAGAAAGTGGGGGCTTGTTGTGGAAAAGCCCCGAATCCAAAGGAAAGTTTTCTTTTCGATGCCAGGCTTGTCAGTGTCTCCTGCGGGCAGAGGAGGAGGGCACAGCAACGTGTCTCTTGCTCCAAAGTTGTTTTGTGGGGTTTTTTTTTGGGGGGGGTGGCAGAGGCGTTTGGGGGTGCGCTATGCTCGGATCGTCAGCAGGAGATGCAAAGTTCTCCGTTTGTTTTTAGCAGAGGAAAGTGAGGGGCGAGAAGGCACTGGAGCAAACCTAAGAACAGAGAGCGTCCCTGCGCGACCCTCCGTTCCTCCTCCGCCGAAGAAGCAATGGAAGGTGGCCAGGATCGTTAGGGGAGGATGGCAAGAGAGAGGAGGATGTTTGTGGACGGAGTACTTTTCCCAAGGAGGCTTACTCGGGAGTAAACCTTTCTTGAGTTCACGGCACTTGTAGAAGTGCGAATTGGATTGTGGTAACTCTTATTTCGTGCGTGTGTGTTTTGGAAAAATCTTTTTCATCTCCTTCAGTTTCTATACACAACAGATAATGCGCGTGAGTTTGTCAGCGGATTCAATGTCCGCATGTAAAGTATGCAAAATGCGTGGTTGCTTTACACTTTTTTCCGTGGGGAGGGGGGTTGAGAGAGGCTGTAAAAAGAGAGAAATTGGTGGTGGTGGAGGATGGCCTGCTCTGCCCAGCTCTTTTTTAAGACGTGCAGTTAGGGTGGTACTTCCAAGGACAGTGGGCAGCCTGATAAAAGCTGACTCTAAAAATCTTCACAGAAGGATGGTGACCATGTTGTGTTTCCAATAATACAGATTGTATAGAAAGAATATATATATATAGTGTGGGAGCTCTTCAATTTGATTATTATTATTTTTTTGCAAGGAAACAGTCCTAATCCTCCTTTTTAACAACTCTTCCTGCCCTCCCCCTCTTGCCTTCACACACATATACAAACACCCTGCACGTTTCCAGAGCAAATTTCTCTCTGTCTTAAGGGATTTGGCCAGGGGGGTGATCTGCAAGAGTCTGTGTGGAGTGAGTCACCAATAGAAGCTGTGCCTCTCCCACAGTCCCATTTAAACCCCCAGCTTAGTCATTAAAAGTAGCAGTCAACAGACAAGCCCCCTCTAGCCCCCGAACCTTTCAGCATCACCCAGATCAGGGCAGCCAGTGCGAAAGGCATGGAAGTTCTTTCATTTGTCCTTTTCATGCCAGCTTTATGCCACCACCCCACTTTTTTTCTTTCTTTTTTAGTATTTCTCCCCGTTTCCATCAGCTACCATATCCTCATCCCTCATTCTCCCCCCCCCCCTTTTGTACTGAAGAAACCTTAGAAAAGTTCGGCAACAAATTGTGCCTAAGGAACTGCAAGCAAGTTTCTATTTCCCTGGAAAGAAAGTGTCCCTTGGTGGTTTTATTATAAGGCAACTTTTTGGCAACTTAAAAAAAACAAAAACAAAAATTCATGTCCTATCCTTTCTCAAATTCTTGACATGCGTTGGAATTCTTGTAAGAAAACTTCTTGACCTTCTTCTTTTGACTTTGCATGAGTTGTTGTCCCTTCAGTTTATTATCTAAACTCTCTGCTCAGAAATTGGTCCGGCACATATATTTTGCAACTTCATTTTTCTGCCACCAACTCCAGATTGAAATTTCAAGAATATTCTGTAGATCGCTCCTTCTTCTTTTTATCTTTATTTCTCTACAATAGCTCTAAAAGAAGAACTTTGTGGTCTTCAAGCTGGGATAGGAATAAGCAAATTTATTATCTTTACCTTGTTGGGTGCAAGAGAGGGGACTGCTCCCCCCCCCCACAAAAATAAAAAATTCTACTACTCTTTGATAGGTCAAGGCATCTTCGATTTGTGAAGACCTAGCTAGCTACATTTCTCCACCCTCTATATTTTAGTCTCTGGATTCGTTTTCTTTGTACGCCTCTTCCAAAACCACCCTGCTGCAGAGTTAGGGAGGAAATTCATCTAAGGGAGTTTTCATGCCTGTTGCTAACTTGATGTGCTTAAAATAACTAGATTTCATCAAAGCACAATGATACGAAGACAATACTGGTCCAGCTCTTTTTAGTCACTAGCTCACTTGTATTAACTATATAATGCAAGCCTGTTTTTCTCAACCCCCCTTTTTTTCTAGTTCATTGTTCTTCGGGAAAGCATTTGTAAGAGTTAGCATTTCTAACAGCTATCTTAGTCTTTCTTCTTCTCCCCCCTCCCCTTCCTTACTGGTAATAGATTTAGGTTATGGCTCCCTTTACATGCTTGGACAATAAGTTTGACTAAGTTGCCTGGAGGCTATATTTTGTAATAGTGTTAACAGGATTGAGTGTTGTAATAATATTGGTATACAATGGTGCTGCTAAAGCCTTCAATATGGACAGTTTCCTTCACTATATGACCTATATTTTGATGCCCTAAAATTGTACACAGCCTTTCATATATATATATATATATATATATATATATATATATATATATGCATGCACGCACAGACACACATACACTCTTATCAAGCTGAGATTAGGCAGGGTAATTAAAAGCTCAGGAAAGCACGGTGTTTTCTATCACTGTTAATCTAGACATAATTGCTGTGAAAACAAATTATATATCTTACAAATAAAATGTCATAGAATTGCCCATTTAGAGCTGGTTTCATTTTCTGGTTATTTCCGCACCCCCCTCTAGTAATCTGTTTTAGAATTCAGATCTCAGAAATTTCTCGACCTGCAGCTGTCTTCTCTTATTTATTTAAAGAAACACTTGCCCTTCTGTGGCCTAGTTTTTATCCATCTTTTCTTGAGAATTTTATACAGGTACCTTTTCTGACGCTTTGCTATTAAAACTTCTGCTGGCCTTTTCTCATTCTTTTCATTTGTGCTGCTGAAAAAATTAGGAACGGTTTTGGTGCTGTTGGGCGAAAAAAAATTCCCTAACAGTGGAAACGGTAGAGCAAACATCTGGAGTTCCAGACATAAATTGTATTCAACAAGTCATTGGCTGCTGTTGGGGAAAATATACAGCTGAAGAGTTGCTTCTTGAAATTTAGGGTTCTAATATTATCCTCATTTACCTGAGACTAAGCCTTTTTCAGATTCAGTTTAGCTTGTTTTTGAGGAGACATGTGTGGGATTGCACTGCTGTCTAAGGTTTCTAGAATACTTGTTACATTTAGAGTTGGCTGTATATCCCCCCCCCCTTAAGCTTTTTTTTTAAAAGAGGGTAATGGCCTAATCTTAACACAGAAGCAGTATTTCTGGAGCAGAGTTATTCAGTCCATTGCAAAGACTGGGGCAGAAGGATAATCCAGAGGATACAAGGTGCTAACAGTTCCCTTTGGGCATGGGAAACACAAACTCTGGGATTCATAGTGAACTATTAACCTACCCTGACTATCTACACATTTGACATAATTATCCAAGTTATAATTAATTACATTTTCAATTAACACCATTGGAAATCAGGCTTGCTGAACAATGGTGTCTCTGTCTCTCTCCCCCCCCCCTTTATTACAGGATAAGGCATTTCTTTTCAAATTTCTTGGACAATTGTGTATGTACTTACATTTTAACAAAATAGAATATTTGAGACGAGTTCAACACAGGCAGGAATGCTAAGAATAATTCATGAACGGCCCTCAATACTTTGATTCAGAAGTAACTCTTGTTTTAAATGAATGGCAATTGCTTTTGTACAGATGTGTTAAAGTTGCAGTTATACAATCAGTGTGAAACAATTTTGAGAGTCTGGGGTTGGGTTCGCGAAATATCGTCCTTTGCCCCTTTCCGAGCTGCATGTTTTGCGTCCTCAGAAACCTCATTTAACTTTTGTGCAATCACTTCCAAAAGTAGCTGTTTCAATAGATTTTCCTTTCCTTTTCTCCCCGATTGACTCCTGATAAAGATCCTTTCCAGAAGGGTGGACTTCTTAGGTCTAGAAACATCCTTTTTGTTGATCACTGTGGCAAATCGTATCAGCTGGAGAAGGGAGGGGAGAGATGCAATAAATTGATAACAAGCTGGTGGAGAGTGATTGTGGGAAGAAACTTCCAGAGAACCGCTGGTAAAGGCAACCTGAGAGAGGGCCCCAGTCAATGCCTCTTCTACCTTTTCCAAAAGTGGATAGTGATATCTCAGATATATATATTTTTTGGTCCTTTTTCTGGGGGGTGGGGGAGCCAAAAAGCCAGACTTGTCTCCCAGCAGTGGCTTTGCTCAGAGGGCTATTAGTTGGGGATGTTTGGCCAATCCGTGCTAGGGGGAAACCTCAAAGTGTTTGGATGTTTTAACCTTTGCCAGCCTCCTTCCAGTCAAAGGTGACAAAGTTCAGATCACAATATGCAGTTCAATATCTTGCCGGTGACCCCCAAATAGAGTCTTACCAGGCGCTTAGCAGGAAGCTGCTAGTTTATTTTAGCTTCACCTTATCAGCCTCGCTGCTTTTGCTAACTCTTATTCCCTTGTCACCCCCTTGGACGCCAGACCCCCAAAGAGGGGATTGACAGCCAGTTGCCACAGCGCCTTTGCCTCCCCCCCCCCACTCCAAACAACAGGGATTTGGTTTCTTGTTCCTTTGCCAATGTTTGCATAGCCAAAGTTTAGATATTGCTTCTCTCTCTCCCCCACCTCTCTTTCCCCTTCTCTTTGGTTTCTCACTGGAACAATGAAACTGCTCTCAACTTTTTGGGAGAAACTGTTGCAGCAGGAACCCCACCTAGTGTTCGTTTTGATTCAACCGTAGGAAAGAGTTCTTTTATTTTAAGTAGCTACGTAGGTAGGTCCGTCTCCCGGCTTTTAAAAATAGAAATGCTCTTAAACAGTGCAAATCAATTAACAGTTGGGTTAATTGAAAGGCGCGTCTGTGTATTTGATCTCGGGTGGAAGAATCCTTTTCTGAGGGGTTTCAAAGGGATGGTAGCAATAGTTGTTTGCTAGTTGTTGTAGGGAAGGATGGAAACTGTTGGGGAGAGAGGGTATGTATTCTTAATATATTGCCCCTATAATGCCTCTACTAATGTTTGAATATAAATACAGCTGTGATTCCCCCCCAAAGTTCATTTTTAAATTACATATGAGAAGGAAGAGACTACATTTGACCTTGATTTGCATATGTGTATCCTAACTTATCTATAAACTTTATTCTTGTAATGGAAATATCAATGTGAAGTTGTTCTGTGAATGTTGAGAAATGCATTCCAAAGAATATTTATTCATAAAGTGGAAAGGCCTTGTTCAATCTCATTGCTTTGCAGATAGACACTTAGAGCGAAAGGGATTGCCTCTCTCCCAAGATTTGTGGAAGATGACTGAATGTTTGAATTTTTCTTCTGAAGTTTTTGCCTCAAAGCAGTTCAAAATTTCTCCCTTTGGAGAAAGCAATCAAGTTGGCATGAATAGTTAAGGTTAGCAGCAGAATTCTTGCAGTTTTTGTAGGAACCTATTGACCCTGCTCTTGACTGGTGGATGTAGGCCTTGGAAAGCAAAGTTCCCTGGGTGGCATTTTTCCTTTTCTGTTTTAAAAAATAGGCGTCTGCTGTTGAAACTTCATTTTCTTATAAATACATCTTGATATAAATACATCTCTTTGAATTTTTCATTTCAAAAGTGCTGCCTGCAGATATATTATCATGCTTCTTTTTAACAAGATCTATAAAAGATTAAATCTTTCTGTCAGGTGATAGGCACAGTTGCTTTGGTTCATCATGTCGCCAATTACTCTGATTAAAAAGCCGTTAAAGAAACACTGCCTTAATTTTTGTTTCATTTCGGGGTTTTGTTTTTTTGAAAAAAAATATGACTTTAAATTAGTGGAAGCTGCTTTAAGCTGTAATGTATTTCAGTTTCTGAAATTTCTAAGCATGTTTTTAATGAACCTGAGAAGCAATTGTGAATTTAGGTTATTCCTGATTAGCATGTGAGCATTTTCCCCTGTGTGTGCCAAACAGTGGTAAGAGGAGACAATGCCAGTGTCAGTTTTACAATATTTAGCATGCACATATCAAATTTGTTGAGGAAAAAATAATCACTAGGTATTAACGCTGGGGAAATAAAGTTTCCTTAGCGTACGTCTTTTGGTACAGGTTTTGTGAGAAAATCTCATAGTTTTGTTTCTTCTTAACTGGCCCTTATGAGTGCAGTATAATATTACTTTATTTTTTTAAAAAGCGATGGGTACTTTAAATCCTGTAACTGGAACGTGTTGTGCTGAGCATTGCAACTTAAGGTAGCGAAAGAATAGCGAGCGCTGCAACTTGACATGGAGGACATGTGTTGCATTTTGTGTGCAGCGAAGTATCAGGCAGGTAAAATAACAGGGCCTTTGTAAACCAGGATTATAATAATCTACTGCAAGGGTGAAGAAAGGGAATTGGAACAGGTTTTAATTTTCAGTACAGGCGTGCTAAATATTTGAAGCAAATCCACTGTCATGTGTACAATTCATCAGTTGGTTTTCTGATTTCTCTCTTCTCCCCCCCCCCCCCCCGCAAGTTATTTAGTTTTGAATCTGTCATTATTTGTCTAAGCACAGCTGACCAAGCAAAACCATGTTTTAAAGTGGGCTTTATGTTTTGATAAATGTGATCTGGTTGAAAAGTATTTTCGACTGAATGTGGAGCTTAATAGAACATGCTGACATAATAGTTTTAATGCATTTTGTTGAAAATGTGTGAACAAACAGAATAGCTTTTGTTCCTTCATAATTGGCTGTAAAAGTAGATGGAAACATCACCATTACATATGGAAATGTGGAAGAGAGAAAGGAATAACATTTTCGGTCGGCTATATTCAGAATTGGATTCCCTGGTTTTAAAATAAGCATCTAAAATGGATGCCTCATTTGAAATTAGTTGTCAAAATACAATGCTCTAAATGGAATGTTTGTCACGATGGATCTATATATTTTATTCTGCATGAAACAGGGAAATAACTAAAGCAGTGTATGCAAATAGACTGCATTTAATATTTCGCCTTACCTTTTTTTACGCCCATGAAGCGAAGTACCAAAATTGCAGCCTTAATATGCTAGGATGTGACAAGAGGCAGGGCGACCAAATATTATTATTTTAAAATGGATTGATAATTATCCTTTCCCAGTAAAAACTTTTGTAGAGGGGTATCCATTTTTTTAAAAAAAGAAAATAATGCAAAGACTGTATGGCATATTTGCCCCATAGTATATCTTGAAACGAGTTCATTTACTCTTCTGTATAAATGTAGAACTCTAAAGTATTTGTTGTTTAAGGAAACCGAGTGCAGTTCTTTTTCTCTCTCGGTGGGTCCAATGGCTGTGTAAACTTGGATCAGTTTTAACTTGTAAAAGCAAACCCTTCTTCACCCCCCCTTTTTTCCCAGGAACTTTTAATGTTCGTTTTCTTCTGAGATTTAATTTGGAAGTCATGGAAACTACCTATTATCTGATTTTAGTGTTGCAGCAAAACAGGCAGGGAGGTAATCCTTGAATTAAACGAGCTCTCCCCACCCTTCCCTGGCTTTCTAAATTGACCACACACAATCTGTACAACCAAATTCTGTGTCCTCATGCTGAGAAAACAATAGGGAACCATCCTTTCTTTTGAATAAGATCAGCTAGTTTGAAGTCAGAGGCTTCTTCTTCTTTTTGTAACGATTAATTTACAAATGGATCTCAGCGATAAGAAAAGGGAGCAACCAGTGATAACAAACATGAAATGAAAGGGGGTTCTTCTAATGAAAGGTTCCGAGTTATCTGCTAAACAATTGACAAGAGTTAAAAGCAAATAGTTTTGATATGCACTCAGACAAGGGAGATTGCAGAGGGTTATCAACCTTAACAACCCAGATTGATTTCTTATTGTATAGAAACATTTTCTCTTAACAGCTCATCTTCTCCCCCCCCCCTTTGATGGTTTCTCTCCCCCCCCCTTCCCAGAAATGTAAAGTTTTTAATGCTGCTTTTATAGATATGAGGTCATACTCTGATCTAATCTCCATGGTTGTAAAGTACAATGACTGCAGGCAGTTGTGGGATCTTGTATACTCACAATGGGGTTACCCAGAGATTTACACTGGTACCACTGAGGTTAGAATTGGCATCATAAAAGGCAACTTAACACCCCCATTCTAAGCACATTTAGTTGGATGTAAGTCCTAAGCGTTCTTATGAAGAAGTCGCCACATTGAATTCACTGGGGCTTACTTTGGAGTAAGTGTAGAAATCCGTGCTGGGGACCTGCAGTTCTGGATGAAGCAATTGACTAGCAAATTAAAAAATGCATAACATGTTGAGGGCGACTTAGTGGCTTGTGGAGCTATATAGCAGAGTGAAAAGGACTCTGCGGTCTTCAAGTAAGCATCATAAGTAGGATTAGGCAACAAATGCTTAATTGTCAAAATATGAATATTATTCTTTGACAAGGGATTTCTCATTTTTTTTCCATTTTATGTGTAACAAAGGCTTTAGTTGCTGTGGGGTGAACTTTGGAAGGGAAAACCAATGCTTTGTAGGAGGATCAGAGTTAGCTCTGAGTTATGCAGGAATGGGAAAGCTAGCTTGTTTGTTTGTTTCTCGTTCATGTCAACCTGAAGCTTGGGCGATATGTGCTCCCCCACCTCACCCTTCTCTCCCCCCCCCCTTCATTCTTGTCAGCAACTGATTGGGACCTTGAACGACTACAAATTAGTTTAGTGACGGGGTGACTGTCACTGATATCTTTGAATCGGTTGAGGATGAACAAGGTTGACGGGGAGCTTGAGAGTCTAATGAGTCCTTCAAATGCTTGATTTGCCACTCAGTGGACAACTAGGCAATAAGCAGTATGAAACATTGGAAATCAATACCTTGCTATGGAATTTCATTATGCCCCAATGTCTTTGGTTCATACTATTTTATCTTTTGATGGATTATCTGGAGGAAATGATCATCTGAGACACAGGTAGCCATAAAAAGCACCCCTTGTACAGTCTTAAAAATCAGTCATGGGCAACCTCTGTGAAGTCACAATATTGATTTTTTTCACATGTATGGCCAGTCTTGGTCTGTCTTGGTAGTGGGAGAAAGTGGCAGATCTCACCAAAACGTCTTGGAGGGAGAAAGAAAGATGCAATGCAAGGCCTACAGGCTTCTTCTCTGGTGCTTGAAGCCATGCACTGTTGCTAGGAAGCGATATTTACAGGCTAGGGAAGCGGGACACACAATCCCTAGATGGAAATTTGTATGCTCTTTCGGTAGCTTCCAGCACCCCAATTCTGGCACCAGTACTGACTGCCTGAACCTCCCACCTTCCTTTGCAGACCCAGTTTAAGGCTGTTATGTGCATGCTGTGTGCAATATTCCTTTACTCTACAGTAGCCTGACCTGATAACATAAAAACAAGGCTAACAATGGAGGAAAAATGGAATGAATCAACAATATGTTGCGCTGAATACAAACATAATCAGCCACAACATGCGAAATGGTGCCCGGTGCACTAAACGGCGCTCTTCGTTTTGGTCGCCTCCATGTGTGCAAAAGTCAAATTACATCTTTTACCCCATCTCATCCAGAAATTTTATTTCTAGGGATCATCTAGAAGGGGCCTGAGAGTTTAGGCCAAATGTAGTCTACAAGCTGCCCTCCAGATGGACTGCAACTCCTATAATCTTTGACTATTGACCATGACAACTGGGACTGATGGGAGTTGTAGCTCAAAATATTTGGAAGGTGCCACATTGGCTACCCCTGCTTTAAGACCATGTGGCTGCACATTGACTTTTTTTTTAAGTCACTCATGAAATAGGGAAAGTAACTTATTTATCATGGACAGGTACCAGAAATATCAGGGAGATCTTGGGGACACAAGCAAAGAGTGTAGGAAAGTGAAAGGGTGGTTGAAGACTAAGCAGGAAACCTTTTTGAGATAGGTGCGCTCTAGCAAATCTTAACATCGCCTATCCTACAGACCAGATTTGTGTTTCTGCTCAGTTGCTAATCTTGCTCTTTTTCTTACCCCCCTCCCTTTGCCTTGATGTTTTAGGAGACACGCAGAAGGGTCAAACAAATCGAACCACCAAGGCGAAGGATGCCCACGTCTGTGGCAGATGCTGTGCTGAGTTCTTTGAACTATCGGATCTCCTGCAACACAAGAAGAACTGTAGTAAAAATCAATTAGTTTTAATTGTGAATGAAAATCCTGTTTCTCCTTCTGAAGCCTGCCCTCCCAGCTCCCCTACTGATAATCCTGACGAGCAGAGGAATGACACAGTTAATAACATGGATCAAGTAGACCGCAGCAGCCATCCTGAGCATAACAACAAACTTGACAAAGAAGAATCCATGGACGTGGAGGCTTCCAGCGTTGGTAACGGCACTAGCGGCAGTTCCCAGAGCGCCAGCGATAGCGTTGTGAGTGGTAACTGCTCCACCATGGGTACCTCAGCTATCACAACCTCTCTACCTCAAATAGGGGACCTGACAACGCTAGGCAACTTCTCGGTCATCAACAGCAATGTCATCATTGAAAACCTTCAGAGCACGAAAGTGGCGGTCGCCCAGTTCTCGCAGGAAGCGCGGTGCAATGGCGCCTCGGCTGGCAAGCTGGCCATCCCTTCCCTCATGGAGCAACTGTTGGCATTGCAGCAGCAACAGATCCACCAGTTGCAGCTGATTGAACAAATTCGTCACCAAATATTATTGCTGGCTTCGCAGAACGTGGACCTGCCAACGTCTCCCAGCCCCTCTCAGAGCACGTTACGAACATCTGCCAACCCCTTGTCCACGTTAAGTTCCCATTTATCCCAGCAGCTGGCTGCGGCGGCTGGGTTGGCACAAAGCCTAGCTAGCCAGTCTGCCAGCATCAGTGGTGTGAAGCAACTGCCCCCTATACAGCTACCTCAGAGCAATCCTGGCAACCCGGCAATTCCATCCAGTAGCGGCTCATCTCCAAATATTAACCTATCTGCAGTGGCAATTACGGCACCATCCTCTGACAAAGGGGCTACAAATGCTGGTGGCCCGCAGCTTGGCAGCCCGCCAGTGACGGCGGCGTCCTCACCAGCTTTTGCAATAAGCAGTTTATTAAGCCCTGTATCGAACCCTCTTCTACCTCAACCCACCCCTAGCAACTCTGTGTTCCCCAATCCTTTGTCCGGTCTTGGAACGCCTGCAGAGGATTTGAGCTCCTTGGCTGCCCTGGCCCAGCAAAGGAAAAGCAAGCCCCCCAGCCTGGCCACCTTCGAAGCGAAAAGTGCTTCAGATGAAGCATTCTTCAAGCATAAATGCAGGTTCTGTGCAAAAGTGTTTGGGAGCGACAGTGCCTTGCAGATCCATTTGCGTTCTCACACCGGGGAGAGGCCGTTCAAATGCAACATCTGTGGAAACCGGTTTTCCACCAAGGGGAACTTAAAAGTCCACTTTCAGCGTCACAAAGAAAAATACCCTCACATTCAAATGAACCCGTACCCTGTGCCAGAGCATTTGGACAACATTCCCACAAGCACAGGTATCCCGTATGGAATGTCGATACCGCCCGAGAAGCCTGTAACAAGCTGGCTGGACAGCAAGCCAGTGTTATCCACTTTGACGACGTCAGTTGGCCTACCGCTTCCTCCCACAATTCCGAGCTTGACCCCTTTTATCAAAACAGAGGAGCCTCAGCCTATTCCCATCACTCACCCTTCATCTAGTCCCCCATGTTCTGTGAAAAGCGACTCTGGCTCCATTGATCCTGCTGGGAAAAACTCCAACGGGCATTTAGTTGAAGGGGAGGCGGGCCCCTTGCTCTCCTCCAATGACAAGCCAGAGGAAGGCACCCAGATGCCCAGCGCCTCTGCTAGTCTTAACAGTTCTGTAACATCACCGGCAGCAGATTCAGGTTCCATCAATGTGGTCACTTTCACCAATCCACTGATGCCTCTCATGTCGGAGCAATTTAAGGCCAAGTTTCCATTTGGGGGGTTGCTGGACGCAACGCCGACCTCTGAGACCTCCAAACTGCAGCAGCTAGTGGAAAATATTGACAAAAAGGCAACCGATCCCAATGAGTGTGTCATTTGCCACCGAGTTCTTAGTTGCCAGAGTGCTTTGAAAATGCACTATCGCACACATACTGGTGAAAGGCCCTTTAAGTGCAAAATCTGTGGCCGCGCCTTTACGACAAAAGGAAATCTCAAGACCCATTACAGCGTTCACCGTGCCATGCCCCCGCTGAGAGTGCAACACTCCTGCCCGATCTGCCAGAAAAAGTTCACCAATGCCGTTGTGCTACAGCAGCACATCCGGATGCACATGGGCGGACAGATACCCAACACACCTGTGACAGAAAACTATCCCGAGTCGATGGAATCTGACACAGGTTCTTTTGATGAGAAGAACTTTGATGATCTGGATAACTTTTCTGATGAAAACATGGAAGACTGTCCTGACAGCAGCGTACCAGATACCCCGAAATCCATTGATGCATCTCAAGATAGTTTATCATCTTCCCCATTGCCACTGGAAATGTCAAGTATTGCTGCTTTAGAAAATCAGATGAAGATGATAAATGCGGGGCTTGCTGAGCAGCTTCAAGCAAGCTTAAAATCTGTTGAGAATGGGTCGGTGGAAGGGGACATCATGACGAATGATTCGTCATCCATTGGTGGCGATATGGAAAGCCAAAGTGCTGGGAGTCCTGCTATTTCAGAGTCTACCTCTTCCATGCAGGCCTTGTCCCCTTCCAACAGCACGGCTGAATACCACAAGTCACCGTGCATCGAAGAGAAACCACCAAAAATGTTACCGAACGATTTTGCCAATGGTTGGCCTCCAGCCCTTGCAAACGGTGGTGCTTTGGATTTGACGTCTGGCAACCCCGAGAAAATGATTAAGGAAGAGTCCTTGAGCATGCTGTTTCCTTTCCGAGACAGAGGCAAGCTGAAGAACACGGCCTGCGACATTTGTGGCAAAACGTTTGCATGTCAGAGTGCCTTGGACATTCATTACAGAAGTCATACCAAAGAGAGACCATTTATTTGCACAGTTTGCAATCGTGGCTTTTCCACAAAGGGTAATTTGAAGCAGCATATGTTGACACATCAAATGCGAGATCTACCATCACAGCTGTTTGAACCCAATTCAACCCTTGGCCCCAATCAGAACTCTTCGTCAGCGATGCCCGCTAACTCGCTCTCGTCTCTGATAAAGACGGAGGTTAACGGTTTTGTACACAGCGCTCCTCAGGACAGCAAAGAGATGTCGCCTGCCCTGGTTCCTTTGGGGCCTCTGCCACCTTCAGCTACATCGCCAGTCTTGCTTCCAGCTCTCCCCAGAAGAACGCCGAAGCAGCACTACTGCAACACGTGTGGGAAAACCTTCTCGTCCTCCAGCGCTTTGCAGATCCATGAAAGGACTCACACCGGAGAGAAGCCTTTTGCCTGCACTATATGTGGAAGAGCTTTCACAACAAAAGGCAATCTTAAGGTACTTCCCTCCCCAACTCTATAGTCATAATATTCTGTCTTGCTTTTGGCATCAACTTGCACTTGACATATTTGGGCCTGGTTTGTGCATAACCATGGTTTATTCAACAAACCGCAAGTTTTCCCACAGATGATCAAAACAAGCCACTTCTTGTTTCTGTTTTCCAACTTCTGACTTATTCCTTTGTAGTTTGGTTGAGTGTCTTGGGTGGGGTGGTCAAACAAACCATGGTTAAGGGAAGGGTGCTGGGTTAGCGCAGTAAGGCCAAGCAACAGTTAAAAGAAACCAAAGTTTGTAAGCCACCCATGAGCCATGGCTTCAGATTCAGGTTTGTTGGCAGAACATGCTGGTTCACACATGACACTACACCATGGTTTAATAAATTATGGTCTAGCATTGTGTGTAAATTGGGCATTTGCATTTCATGCTGTGCATCCTGTCTTTTGTCTGCGGTCTTCAGGAGAGTTCCACATTTTTTACATGGCAAGCCTAAACCCTTCCTGTACACTGATACTCCCATGTAAATTGTGAATGGAATACACTCATTTTCACATGTATGGAAACCTGGGCCAAATTGTGTTTGGTCTTAGATGGACCTCTTCAATCCTTTTATGGTTCTGTGATGCGCATACCCAGCAATGGTGCTTGCTGCATGCAATGGAGGGGCATTGCCCTCAGATCACTGATAAATATAAAGGAGCAGGAAGCTCTGTTTTGGGGACTGATGCTAAGGCAAAAGCTGTGTGGGGTGTCAATATGTGTGTATGACTATACCATGCGTTACCCCATCTACTTATAAAGAGAAGGATTGGTTTGCTTTCCCCAGGACTTTCAACTATGATTTTTGGGAAATGGGAAAGGGAGGGGGAAAGCTGCTGCTTCTGCTGAAACTCCAGGTTAGAAAGGTAATCTGGGTATTGCTTCCATCAGTCAGAAGATAAGGCTCCCAGACCTCAATATCCTTCATCTCTACTGTTTTTGGATATGGTATCAATGGTGTCAGATGCCTGGTGGGGCAGAAGGCAGGGAGCCCAACAGGAGATGGTGCCAGAGCCGATGATTGGCAGAGCCAAATAATTCTAGTTTTGTCCCCGTCTTCCTCCCTGTTGAGTTTTGTAAGGGCAACACCAAGATTAAAGAGTAGGAAGGTGACAGGCAGTGTCCCAGATTGGCCTAGTGGACCAGCCTCCACTGTGCTATTTATTTATTTTAAAATATTTATAGGTTGCCTTTCCAGATGAAGGCACACAACAGTATTCTGTGCAGTGAATTTCTTAATCTTTTTTCTCATTTGCCAAAAATGTTTATTTCTTTTCTCATAACCCAAATTATTCTCCTACATTACCCATGGGAGTGTACCAGTGTTAGAAACTAAGATATATAATCTAATCACCAAATGGCGCCTTAAACCTAGGTTACAATCACCACAATGAATTGTCTAGGTGTCGTTCCCCCCCATTGATTTTTTAAAATCATTATTATTTCATTTCATTTGGTTACCTATTTATATTCCAAAGAACAAATCTCAATGTGGTTTACAACACATTAAAACATCAGATAAAACAATGCAGAATAAAACAAATACAAGCTTCAAGGAAAATCTTTCAAATCCTTCTCTTAGTGACATTTTGCTTTCCCCCGTCGCCAACCTGGTATCCAGAGATCTCCATCTGGTCGCAATTGCACCCACAAAACACACCTGGTGCCTGACTAGTTTCTAACACTGGAGTGTGCATGTGGCTTCTAAGTCATCACCTATCCAGGCACTAATCACCTTAGCTTTAGCAAGATGATGGCTTCCTGTGCATCCACCTCAGGCTGCACCCAGGAATGTATTCTCAGTTCCTGGCCAATTATTTCCATGCATAACAGCTAGATGCATATTTGCATACATCTGTGTTAATCTAATCACTGTTTTGTGTTTTCAAACTTCACCCCCCCTTTTTGATGAATACAGAATTTTATAGACTCCCCAATTAAAGACACTCAAAGTGTACTTTGTATATATACAGCAAAAGAATCCTCTTGTTACAGTTAAATTACTCTTTTCGTAATGTTAAAGCAGAGCACCATGAAGTCCTAAATATGAGCAAGATCCTAGTTTTGATTGCAAATCTAGCTGATGTTTCTTACTGGCATGTGTTGAAAAAGCAAATGTGCTTCATTTTTATAACCAGTGCTTTTTTTCTTTTAAAAAATGTTTAGGGGTACTCCCATTTTCCTACTCATATTGAAATACTGCCCCTCAGTGAGGCCAAACTTAAATTCACAAGATGTTTAGGGGTATGCGTACCTGTGCGTCCCTCCCCCGGAAAAAGGACTGTATATTACACCGGTGAAGCACTTTAAAATGCGCATCTCCCCTCCACCCCCTGCAGATGGTCTTTTCCTCTAGAGATTTTTTGCAGAGGCGATACAAAATGAATAACTACTTTCAGGGCATCCGGCCTGCACATGTTAAGCTCTCCAATGAGCAATTAGTGGAGGATTCTTTCAACCAGTTTAACTGGACATTTATAAGGGAAAGGGGTGTCTAATAAAGTAGTTGGCATTGTGATGGCAGTGGGTGGCGAAAATAGATCAAACTGTGCATGGCCACGCTAAACAAAACACATTTAATAAAAGCGAGGGGTTGTAAAGTCCATCTTGTAGGCAGGAGAAACTTAGGCTGTTAGTTGAACCAGATGAGCTGTCGTTGGTTATTGATTAAAAAGAGGAATTTTAACCTTTTAGCCTTTCGCATGGCCTTCTAGAATGGGAATGGTCAATGTCTGTATTCTAGGAAGGGGGGTACACGCACACATTGCCATCCAGGCAATGATCTGAGGAATGAAAGTGTATATTGCAGCATAAAGGGCTTCCCTGCAAAGTGGTTAAGCTCCACAGTAGAGCTGGGTGGCGCTCTGTTCTGGCATCAGAACCCAGGCATAGCATGCCCAGCAAACAGGTACTTCAACGGTTCTCTTGCCTCTGAAATCCCAAAGAATGATGTCTCATTAAAGGTGTGAACTAGCTCTATTTTTGCACAACTTTCAATGTTGTTTCCCCAACCCCCTTCCTTGGCAAGTGCAAAGCGTAGGCGGGCTGTTTGAACCTTCCTCTTGGTGTTTGCTTGCTGCCTCTTTTCCCTTCCCACCTTTATTCAGTCACAGAACTTGAGGGAAATCTGGTAGAGTTCCTACATGGTCCAGACACCAACCAGAGCCAATCCTACATAACTTCAGCAAGGTGCCTGTGTTATACGTCCTCAAACTAGGCTTAGGGGAAACTGAGGTGCCATAGACTGCCCGCAGCCTGCCAGCTGACCATCTATCTGCTATAGATCAGGGGTGGGGAATCTCAGACCCAAGGCCCAAATATGCCGTGCCACAGGACACCCTCCTTCAGTCATATCCCTCCCTCTCAAGCCATAACCCTCACCAGCATTGCTTGATACCACCTTTAGGGGTTGTTTTTTGCTTGGCTAGAATGTATCCTTGCTCTCTGATGATGCCTCTCACTTGCCTGGATTGAGGACCAAGAGAGAGAGGTGTGTGTGTAGAAACTTGCCCACTTTGCAAAACTGTGCATATATTTCTATATATCTCCACCCACTTTGGTCTCTGGCTTGTGGCCCCTGGACAGTTGCCTAGAAGGGAATGTGACCCATGGGCTCAAAAGCTATTCCCCACCCCTTCTGTAGACAGCAAGAACCAACAATGGCGATGCAGTGTTTTCAGGTATTTTTGACTGCCGTGAAAATAACGCCTGCCGCTGCTAACCAGTCTCTCTTTCAGGTTCACATGGGGACGCACATGTGGAACAGCACACCTGCCCGGCGAGGCAGACGGCTTTCTGTGGATGGCCCCATGACTTTTCTCGGAAGCAACCCTGTAAAGTTCCCAGACATCTTTCCAAAAGAGTTGGCCATGAGGTCGGGAAATGGAGACCCGTCCAGCTTCTGGAATCAGTACGCCGCGGCTCTCTCCAACGGCTTGGCGATGAAGACGAATGAGATCTCAGTCATTCAGAACGGTGGCATCCCTCCAATTCCTGGCAGCCTGGGCAATGGGAGCAGCTCCCCGATTAGCGGCTTGACGGGCAGTCTGGAGAAGCTCCAGAACTCGGAACCTAACGCGCCTCTAGCTGGTCTGGAGAAAATGGCAGGCAGCGAGAATGGGACTAATTTCCGCTTCACGCGCTTTGTGGAAGACGGCAAAGAGATTGTAACCAATTAGGACACGTGTTACGAACATTCCGGCAGATATTGCAACCTAAGGTTGTGCAGGTTTTTGTTTTCTTTGGAAGTTGGGGGGGTGGGGGCGAATTGACAAAGTGACATTAAAAAAAAGACATTCTTTTGTACCCTGTTCGACATCTAGAGTTCTAAAAACAGCTTATTTATTAGTGATATAACTTTTTTTTTTTTTGCTTTGCAAACACATGCAAGGATTAACTTTGGTCTTCTGTATTTTGAACTAAATACTAATTGACTAGAGTGCTGTAACATTTATGGCAATGCAAGTCTGTTCAGCTAGGTGGTCTCGTTCTGGCATTTAACTTATTTTCTATATCCAGTTTAACATGAACTTTTTGTGGGGGCGACACATTGCCTCCGTAATCCATTTCTCCCACCCACCCATCACCCCTCCCCCTCGTAACAAAAAGTCTGTATATGTGTATACTTCGATCCCGATGGGAAAAAGAGATTTATTGGCAAATACGTTGTTTAATTCTCCAAACAGATTTGCGCACAGGATTTGAAAATGGACAATATAAAATTCAACTATATGCATCCTCCACAACAGGCTCGATTTGTTTTTTTGGTTTTGAAATTTTTATTCTAAAATTAAAACAGCTTTTTTTTTGGTGGGGAGGGTGTGTGCGTTAAGACTTAACTTTCTCCCTCCTTTTTGAATTGTCCTTCATACTGTGCTTGAGGTTTTTGGTTTGTTTGTTTTTTTACTGAAGTTGTCTTAGATGTTAATAAGTTTCTGTACAGTAAACAAGCAAGCAGATGATTAGAAGAGGTCCAAAAATGTTTTTGGTCGTTTGAAACGTTTTGCCTTGTAGGTATATTCACATAGAGGGAGAGAGAGAGAATGGGGTGGAAAGTGCTGGACGTTGTGCTGCTATAAAAAGCATCTTGATCAACCTTCCATGGACAAATTCAGATGCTCCTGTATATACGATGAGAAATCTCGAGTTCATTAAAATGTACATATGTTCCCCGTGAGCTCAAACCCAACTTCTTGACCGAGAGAACAAGAATAGTGTTTGTTTTATTTTGTATTAGGTCTGGGGGGTGAGCGGGAAGAATCCTTTGGACTGTTACATGCACTTTCTTGGATAACTGAAAGGAAATAGGTCCAGTTACTTCTAACATTTAATACTTAACTAACAGCAGAGAAACTGTAATTTTACGTGAGTAATCAAATACATTTTTTTTTTCATCAGATGACGTTGGTAATTTTCTGTGTTTGTGTTTAAAAGTGAGGGGCTTTTCTTCCAGAACGGCTCTGGATGTGGCCCTTTGTGTTGTATGTTCCTTTTAAGAAAATAAGGGGATGTGGTATATGACATTACACACAGAGGTGTACGTGCAAGTATACTACCCCCCCCAAAAAAAACCCTTCATGGCCAATGTTCAGGAAGGATGATGGGAGTTGTAGTCTGAGACAGACTCACTTAAGTCTGTTAATTTCTGTCAGTCTAGTGAATTTGGTTGGCTAGAACCCACCTTTTTCTATTTATCTCTAATCCCATTCTGGGACTGGCTTCTCTATTTTCTTCTCCTTCAATCCATCCTTCCCTTGTCTTTCTCTCCTTCCAGTTAATTCTCTTCCTTCCCTTCCACTTGTATGGATCTTCCTTCCATCGCCTTTCTTGCCTCCTCTCCCTTTTTCCCTTTCCTCCCCTTCAACTTGGTAAGCTGCAACCACCCTCTCCAGCTCCCACCTATTTGACCCATATATCGGAAGCTGCGATAGCTGACATCGGCTCACCCAAAAGCCATGCAGGTGGGACCACAAAGCTGAGTTCCATCTGAAAGCAAGCGAAGGCTCCCTAGCAGTCCCCAGTCCCCAGTGAGAAAAACACTGCTCTTGAGTAGGCTTGTAAATGACTACTTGTGGCTAGTCAGAATTTCCTTCAGGACAGCCAAAGTTGATTGGATTGTTTTTCACCTGGGCAGTCAATCTGCTACAAATGACCAAAGCAGGCATTGTGTTGAAAGGGCTACTAACTTGAATAGACATTTTTACAAGGCTTCTCTAGAGCAGAAAGGAGTTTGGAACTTTCCATAGAGTATACAAGAACTTTAACAGATTCTTAGCCTACCTAAGAATACATACATTGATGTATTTGATGGATGATTGAATGACCTCAATAAGGATATCATCTAAAACCAGTTTGAAGTCCATATCGTGATTCTTGTTTTGTAATTTTTGACCTGGCAATATATTGCGAATCATGATGTATGTTAGGGCTGAGCGATGTCTTTCAACATTGTGATATATCACCAGTTAAACATCACAATATACCAATATATCATGATGTCTGAAATAAGGATGTAACTATGCAGAGGTAAATGGGGTAATGTCCTGGAAACTGCTACTACTAGGGGTCTAAAACTGATACATTATTACTTACCTTTAACATATCGTTACAACTGTTATTTTATAGAACAGAGGAAGAGGGACAGAAGGAATCATGAGAGAAGCAATGACTGGCTTCACGGCTATTTCCACATCACACTTTTTTTACATAGCACACCCAAGCATCATGATTTGCAATATATCGCAGTGTTGAATATTATGAAACAGTTACCACAATGTGAATGTCAAACCGATTTTGGACAACGTATCAATACATTGCCCAGCCCTAGTACGTGTGTGTATGTGCGCTATGGAAAAATCACAATGCAGGAAGAAACCATGAAGCCAGCCAATGGCTCTACATAGCTCCATCCTTATTTCAGACATTGTGATATATTGGTATATTGTGATATTTAGCTGGTGATATATCATGATGCCGAAAACCAGATATCTCCCAGCCCTTGTCCTCAGATACTGTATATTGGGATCTTCATGGAGTTAAAAGGCTATCAGGCGCTACTAGCCATAATGGCTAAATTCTACTTCCACTGTTGGAGGCAGGGTGCTTCTGAATTCAAGTTGCTGAGGATCACAAACTGAGAGAATGCTTCTGTGCTCTGGTCCTATTTGCAGTCTTCCCAGCAGTATCAGGTTGGCCACTGTGTGAACAGAATACTGGACTAGATAGATGGGCCTTTGGCCTGATGTAGCAAGGCTGTTCTTATGTACACTATTTGATTAAATTACCTTTTTACATGCTTGCTAAGAGGCTAGTTGCTCGGTCCCTGCTCCTGCCAACCTAGCAGTTCGAAAGCACGAAGTGCAGGTAGATAAATAGATACCGCTCCGGCGGGAAGGTAAACAGCATTTCTGTGCATTGCTCTGGTTCACCAGAAGCGGCTTAGTCATGCTGGCCACATGACCCGGAAGCTGTATGCCGGCTCCCTCGGCCAATAAAGCGAGATGAGCGCCGCAACCCCAGAGTCTGCCATGACTGGACCTAATGGTCAGGGGTCCCTTTACCTTTATGTAAGAGGCTAGTAAGTTTAAGTTTCTATGCTGGGCACAGAGAAGTGCACTTTTCTATGTAGCCAGCATAGAAATGCAGGGCACCAGCCTCCTTGCTTAGTACAAAAAATAAAAATAAAAATGCAGACTAGTAACAATGCTTGTTTTAATGTGGAATTCAACAGGTTTCTTTTAATTTTTTTTAATGTAATGTTTTCATGGGCATTAACTATTCTTATGAGAGTTATTTTGAAGGTGGACGTTGGGGAGAATGATTGGATAATGCTGATATTTCAAAGTGCCGATTGGAGAGGACTGCTTCCTTGCTTTTTATATATATAAAAGATGCAGGTAGATCTATAATTCTAGTGCACCTGCTTTGGGAAATGCTTTGCGGGGTGGGGAGAACTAATATTGGGAACAGCTCCCAACATCCCATCATGATCATTGGCCATGCTAGCTGAGACTGGTGGGAGTTGTAGTTCAGCGACTTCGGGAGGCCGGGCCAGATTAGGACCTTGAGAGATCCTCAGCATTAAAAAGATTATGGTGTCCCCCCCAATGTAATTCAAAATAAGAACAACACTAACCCATGAAATATATTTTTTAAGTGACGCAAAACTTTACTGTATACTGAAATGTACATTTGTGTCTTGAGCAACACATGACAGGATCTGATGTCCTTGTGGTATTTCAATCTATATTATTAGTCTGAGTGCACCCCTTGGTTTAAGTGAGGATAAGTAAAGAACAGAGAACAGCAAAATGGAGAAGAGTGTGGAGAGCGTAAGAAAGTCTAAATTCTGTTTTTCCCCATGACGACAGCTTGAAGTTTTTGGTTTTTGAAATACTGAATTCTTTCAAAAATGTCTCTTTTTTTTTAAGTGCTCCTGCACTGCTGTGCCCTAAGCTAGGGCTGCCATACACCCACAGTTTCCCAGACTTACCCAGGATTCATCCACTGAAAATAGCTTCTGGGCAGAATTTCCAAAAACGGTTAAAATTTCCAGGAAAATCTGTGTGTATGGCAGCCCATATGGGAAGTGTTGATTTTCCAGCGAATTTCCTAAAAAATAGCTCACACACACACACACGAGATTTTGCAAAAAAAAAAAATGCTTTACAACTTTTGTGTCCTGATTTTCACTTTTTGAAATATGGTAACCCTACCCTAAGCATATGCTTAGTCCAGCACTGTCAGCAGGGCAAAGATTCCCCACATCTAATATTGGCTGTGTTGCCTGCACTAAGGTCCAAGCTAGACATGTTACGATTAGCATGCACACACCACCACCACCAAGCTGCAGTTGTGGGAAGCCTGGGCAGCCACGGGAAGTTGTAACACTTTCTCCCTCTCTCCTCTCCACAGGCTTCACCCAACCCAACCCCAGCCTGCCCATCCCCCTGAAGCTGCTATTTGCATTTAAAGAGGCTTCCACTGAAATGCAGTGAGTAGCTTTAATGGAAAGGGATATCGGTATTGGGACCAGTGCTCTCTAACTTGTTTCAATTTGCAACAATTTCCAAGTCCGGTTTTTAATTTCCACTAGACGGCCCTTCTCCCTTTCTAATTAACAAAGGTACCAAGGAAGCTGCCTTAATCTGAATAAGATGGTTGGTTCATCCAGCTCAGTGTTGCCCACTTTGACTGGCAGTGGCTCTCCAGGAATCTTACCTCAGCCCAACCTTGAGATTGGACCTGGGACCTTCTGCATGCAAAGTACAGGGTGAGTCCTTTAAAAGAGGCCCGGTCGATACAGAGTACTCATGTTCCACGGGGTCTCTTTTAAAAGACTCAAGCTGTATATGCTGCAGCTACAACCCTTTCCCAACCCTTATTCCAGCATATTATTTTATCAATCCTTTAACCAGTGGGCAGCTTGACATCTGCATGTTTCTTTAAAAAAAATAAAAATAAAATAAAAATAAATGGCACCCTGATTTCCAACCAAATACAGTGGTACCTCAGCTTAAGTACTTAATTCATTCCGGAGGTCCGTTCTTAAGCTGAAACTGTTCTTAACCTAAAGCACCACTTTAGCTAATGGGGCCTCCTGCTGCCACTGTGCTGCCGGAGCACAATTTCTGTTCTTATCCTGAAGCAAAGTTCTTAACCTGAAACACTATTTCTGGGTTAGCGGAGTCTGTAACCTGAAGCGTATGTAACCTGAAGCATATGTAACCCAAGGTACCACTGTAAAAGAAAAGTTCCGTACTCAATGCATTGGCCCTCTGTTTACTATACCTGGCCTGAGCAAAGTGAAATGTTGAGCTGACTCCTTTTCACATGTGTCAATAGCTCTGAAGAGGTTTTGGCTCTCCGGTTTGCAAATCTGGCTGCCGAAGGAGCTCTTGTGAGCCAGCGGAGATAGAACACTTGTCACAGATGTGATAAAGAATTGGTGGTAAATCCTCCACCTTTGTGTCAGGCTTTGGCAAGTGTTGAGGATTGCCTTCTCTGCTCTATGACGTGTGGGTGTTTTTCTTTCTTTCTTTAAAGGTTTAAATCCTATGATATGGAAGCAATTACCAAATGCTAAAAAGGGAAATGGAAAGCAGAAAATGCCTGCTCTTACTCTTCCTATTTGAATCTGGATCGAATTGTACTTTTTGAAATTGTGAATCAAACCTTTAGTCCATCAGCTTGATTAGGATCAAAATATAATACAGTGGTACCTCGGGTTAAGTACTTAATTCGTTCCGGAGGTCTGTTCTTAACCTGAAACTGTTCTTAACCTGAAGCACCACTTTAGCTAATGGGGCCTCCCACTGCTGCTGCGCCAGCAGAGCACAATTTCTCTTCTCATCCTGAAGCAAAGTTCTTAGCCTGAAGCACTATTTCTGGGTTAGCGAAGTCTGTAACCTGAAGCGTATGTAACCTGAAGCGTATGTAACCTGAGGTACCACTGTATTTATGTGGGGGGCACAAACTATTTGCAATATGAGCTGATGCAGTTGTGAGGATGCCTTATTTATACAAATTGGCCACAAGCACTTGTTGAATTAAGGTACTTCTGGGTGGGGAAAAGCTGCAGTTATAAATGGGGAAACTGAGGGAAATGAGGCAACTTGGGAGTGGGTGGAGCTCTCCCCTTGCTAAAGCTGGATCCCACTGCAGTTTCCTGCCCCACTTCCCCTAGATATCGCCTAAGGGTACCCACATCCCTCAGAAGCAGCTGCATACGCATGCCCTCCAACATTTCTCTGATGAAAATAGGGACATCCCATTCTATAACGATAATTTTACTATTTATACCCCACTAAGTTGCCCCAGCCACTCTGGGCAGCTTCCATCATATATAACAACATAATAAAACATTAAACATTAAAAAAAACCTTCCCTATACAGGATTGCCTTCAAACTGCTCGGGGGTCGGATAACTCCATACCCTCCAACATTTCTCCAATGAAAATAGGGACATTCTAAGGAAAAGCGGAACATTCCGGGATCAAATGAGAAACTGGGATGGCTTCTCTAAATCAGGGATGTCCCTGGAAAATAGGGACACTTGGAGAGTCTGCAAAACTTTTGACTCTTGGCTTCTGTAGAACATGTCAAAATCCCAGACCCCATCTGCACTATACATTTAAAGCAGTGTTGTATCACTTTAAAGAATCAGTCCCCCTCCACATAATTATTGGAAATGTACCTGGCAACCTGGCTATGTGATAGGCGTGGCTTTTTGAACTAACCAATCGCATTACAGATAGCTCAGTTCTGGAACAGGACAAGTGGGTGTCCTCTCCCACTGTACCAACAACATGAATTTTGGGTATGCCAGCTTCTAAAAGTGGTTTCCCTTGAGATGCAAAGTGCTTACATGACTTCAGAGCCTCCTTGATAAGTAAAACTGCATTTGTCTCCTGATCATTTATTTCCAGAGACACTTTATAATCTACTAATACTGTCTAAATAAAGTATGGGGCAATCCTTGGCTCCACGCCCTGTAGGGCTATTTTGGCTATCATATATGACATCAGACACAAGGCATTTCTAACTTATTTTCTGAATTCTTCGAAAGGGACAGACTTGTGGCTTCCCACCAACTGCTTTTACTGGGGGGGGGGGGGCGGAATATGTTGTAGAGCTTTAGAGAAGGGTGACTCTTGCCCAGATGCTTTATGGGTTTTGGCTTTCTATGTGTGGTTTTGTTTTGGTTTTGCCTATCTCTCCCACAAAGCCTGGCTCATTGTCCTGAGTCATCTGAAGCTCTTTGATCTCCATGCTCCTTTTTTGAACCCTGCCTGTTCTCTCTGTCCTGTGAATTGCATAAGTTGCTCTCTCTACAGGCTTAGGGTGCTTGATAGTTCTAGATGGCTTTTTGATCCCTTTTCTCACTAGGAAGACGACATAATTAATTGAACGGACAGTGCATTTTGGGGTGATGCAAAAAGAGGTAGCTGGTGACTCTGCTTATTTATTTATTTATTTATTTAAAATAGGCAAGTATTTGGGGGAAAGGTCCACCACTTAGCTTCTGCTCCCCTTGCCCCCACTTCCTAGAAGATGTACTCAAAGTGCGATTGGGGGCTTCCAGGTGGGGACTTAATGCTGGCAACAGGTCATTCAGATATGGGGCTGTGACTACACACTGCCATTTACTCTGCATCCAGTGTGCTCCCACTGCTGGTTTGGGAAGCAGCATGTCATCAGCCACAATCCAAATCTATTGTGTTGTTCTTTAGAAACACTGTGTTTCCCCACAAACCAGCTTCGATCTGAATTGAGCAGAAGAGAAATTCAGCTGCATTTTAAGCTGGTAAATGTGTACTCAGCTGAGCCTATTGGTAACAAAAAAATAAATAAAGGACTTACTGGATTTACCCCAGAAATGGATTAAATGGAAGGAAAGTCCATTTGTGTCTGGATGCCAGTGGCATCTTGTGGGCTCTGTATTACCCCAAACCCCAAACCCCGACATGCATTAGGAACTCCTGTCTTCCAATACACAACCATCTTTAAGCACCCTTAGTTTGAATTGTTTTAAATGTGGAAGTTGGGGGGGGGGGAAGGTTTTTAAATAGAGGCCACATTTACAACATACGTTGTATCCTGGGAGTCGTAGTTACAGATGCTGAGAGTTGTTAGGAGGCCCCGTTCCCATTCCCAAAGTTCCCTGGAAAGAGACATGGAGTTGCTTAACCCACTCTGAGAATTGTAGTTCTGTGAGCCTGTATCTCAGTGGCACTTGCTCTGCATGCGGAAGGTCCTAGGCTCTAAGCTGTGCCTGGTGAGCTGGGAAGCTCCCCTGTCTGAAATCCTGGGCTACATAGATTTTTGGGTCCAAGGGACTTCCTACGTCTCCTGTCTTTAAATGATGGATGCTGCTCCACCAGTGGCTCTGTACAATTCACGTGTAGAGGAGACTCTGCTCCGAGAGCAGCTGTTTTGTTTTGTTCCTTTGCTTCTTAAAACCTTGCTCTATTGAAATCCGTGGCACAGGATGCCAGCTGGGCTTGAGCACAAAAGCGCCTGCAGCTACTTTTTGGACACAGAGATCAGGTGCTGCTCCCTCGAGTGAAGCATCTGTGAGAAGGGCAGGAAACACAAACAAATGACACCCAACGCGAAGAATGTGGAAGGTCGTGAAATAACTCCAGGCTCAACCGGCCTGTGCTTTTGTACCTGGAAGTATCAGGTGGCAGCCGTTCCCATTTCAGCCGGATCCTTCTCGATTATTTTTGGCACGGCGAGTGTCCCAAGAGCACCTGAACTGTGGCATTGTGGGAGCTGGTCAGGCGTGGGCTTGATCCGCACCTGGCCTGGGTGAGAGAGAAAGAGCTCACTGAGGAGCAGGAAGGCATCCTGGATGGGCAGTGGGCCTTTCCCCTATGGAGATCCAGGGTTGTGGGCCTCCCCTGCTGCAAGCGCTGTCACTTCTGAGCATGGAGTTCTTGCACCACTTCTGTGCAAATGCATCTCCTCCTCCTTTTCAAATGGAGGGAAATTTCACAAACTGGACCTCCAGTGCTTGGGCCAGTCAGCATCTTTCAGATGAACCTACCTCATAGGCTTGTTGTGTGTGAGCAAAAGGGCAGGACAGAAGAACAGAGTATATGTCACTCTCCACTTCTTAGGAAATGGGTGCAATAAAAATCAAGTGATGGGGAAGATCAGTGCCCATGCAAGTATGAACCAATAGCTAAGCTTCTAGCCCCTGTGATTTCTGTGCTCTCTGTTTTATTCTGCATCGCTTTTAAAAAGCACCTTCAACCACACAGAGCACACCACACAGTTCGGGAATCATTAATTATATTTATTTTTATCCCAAATTCTTTCCCTTTTTTAAAAGAAAAGAAAAGAGAGAGAGGTAGGGAGTCTCATGAACCAGGCCAGAGTGTTGCTTTGCTATAAACAGTGCCAGAATTTCACCCACAGCGCAGGGCTGCTCTCTATTCCTGGGCTGACCTATGCACAACAATGGGCTGTGCTCTCTCTGCTGGCTTTGTCAAAGCAGTAATTAACCAACCTTCTCTCCCTGGAGCTGTGCATATTCGTGCTGGCACCATCAATAAAAGCCAGCATGCATAGAAGAAAGCAAACAACACATTCAAGGAGCCTTCGAAGGCCTTTAAGCAGAGGGGGTAAATCAATCGGTGTTTGTCAAATGGATAAAATAAAGGCAAAAGGCATTGGGGAGTGGGATTCGGTTACCTAAAGTCTTTTCAGCCCAAATGCTTTTAAAAGTTTTTTTAAAAAACAAAACAAAACATGTAACTTTCCCCTCTGGTGTATGTGTGCAGTTCTTGGTTTTATTGGTGTTATAAACTCCTGACTTGGTTCATTGGAGTTCTGCTGAGAGGCAGAATTGTAGAGTTGGAAGAGACCTTGAAGTTTGCTTAGTCCAACCCCCTGCAATGCAGGAATATGCAACTGCTCCTTATGGGAATCGAACCTGAGACCTTGGTGTTATCAGTACCACACTCTAATCTACTAAATTGTAAGGGGAAGACCCTTTCAGGCTCCAACTGCAAGACCGCTGTTGCAAGCCAGGATCCCAGAGGACTCCAGCCAGAGGCCAGGCAGCCTTCTGTAGCTCTGGTTTCTTCCATGGACTGGATGGTTGGACTGGATAGCTTCCAAGCCCCCTTCTAACTCTCCTGAATCTGTCAGTATGGAGAACCTTTGGCCCTTCTTTTGTTGCTGAGTTACAACTCCCACCTTCAACTCGCATGGTCATTCGTCATGCTAACCACTGAAGCTGATGGGAATTGGAGTCCGTGAACCTCTGAAAGGTTACAGGTTCCTCATTCCTAAAGCAAGGTTTTCAAAAAGTTAAAATGGACTAAAGCTCACACCAACTAGCTAAACACCTGGGTAGGCTGATAAAATCCTACTGCTTGATGCATTGCACTCAAATCTGCTTCCCATTGACTGGAGCCATTCCTTATTTGGCTCTAGACAAGGTGTGGCCATGAGAAGTGCCTGCAGGATCGGGCCAGTGGTTCATTTTGTGCAGGATCCTGTTCTCACAGGGGCCAGCCAGATGTTTGTGGGAAACCTGCAAGCGGGACCCGAGCACAAGAGCCCTCTTCCCACCTGTGGTTTCCAGCAACTGGTATTCAGAAGCATTGCAGTCTTCGACCATGGAGGCAGAGCATAGCCATCATGGATAGCAGCCATTGACAGCCTTTTCCTCCATGAATTTGATCCTCTCTTAAAGCCATTCAAATTGGTGGCTATTGCCCACTTACTGTGGGAGGGAGTTCCATAGTTTAACAATGCATTTCCCACTCTATCCTGAATTTTCTGCCATTCAGCTTCTTTGGAAGTCCATGGGTTCTAGTGTTATGAGAGGGAGAGAAACTTTGCTGTATCCACTTTCTCCATGTCATGCAAAATTTTATATATGTCAGGCCACCTCTAACTCACTTTTTCTCTGAGAAGTCCTAAGTGTTTTTGCAGAGCCTCAAGACATCCTTCTCCAATGAATCTGACACTAATGAAGCTGTGCTGATGTGAACAGTTGGAGGAAGAGCTGCGAAATGTATTGCCCTCTAAGGTGTTAAGGTGAACACACCATCCTACTGCCTACAGTAATGGCCATCTGCTCCCCCAATTCCTTCTGGACTACCATCATTCTTCACTGCTGCCCTGTCTGCGCTGTCATCTCCATTTACTGTTGCCATCTGAAGGCCGACTCAGTGGGCCCACAGCAAACCCGTGTAACTTGCTCAGTTCTTTTCTTTCAAAACACCATTTGCATATTTTGAAATCATTTTCAGACCCTTTCTTTCTCGGGGGGGGGGAGGTCCAGGAAGAGGATGGAATGGGTAAACAGCTGGGGCAAGAAAACCCCCCAAAACAGATTAAGCAGGCATTCCATGGCTCCTCTTAGGACTTTTGCAACCACAGTACAGCTGCTTTTCACTTTTAAAAAGTAAATAAAAGCTGGTGGTGTTAGGGGAACCCCCTGCAGTGTTTTAATTATGGGGTGAGGGCGGGCAGAGGGTCCCTATACTGCTTTCATTAGGGTTTGGAGAAGTATGGATTTGGCTAAAATTGCACCCCAGCCCCCCAATTTCCCATCATAATGCAAGCCTTGAGCTGCTGCTAGGGTTGGCAGACCTTCAAGTCTGACCTGAAGTCTCCAGGTTTCCTGGCTCCCTCCAGGTGGAGGACTGGAATCTGCAGGTGGGTGAGAGTGCCTTTAATATATACCAGTGATGGCCAAACTTGGCCCTCCAGCTGTTTTGGGACTACAACTCCCATCATCCCTAGCTAACAGGACCAGTGGTCAGGGATGATGGGAACTGTAGTCCCAAAACAGCTGGAGGGCCAAGTTTGACCATCACTGATATATATGTATTTTAAAAAGTGTGCAAGCTTCAGCCCAGCACAAAGTGGCTGCAAATTATAGTACAGACATGCTGAGGTGGTGGGGGGGTGTCAGGGGTCTGCTGTCCTCCCCTCTCCCAATTAACTTCTGTCTCCAGGGCCCATCCCTGTAACATTGCCAGGAGCTGCCCCTAGTTTTCAGGTTGGGCCCCTGAAATCTCAGGGTCTGGGCTGCTCCTGACCTCTTGACCCAAAGAGGAGAGAGGGCTATGTGCTTCATATAAGCCCCAAAACATCTGGAAGCCTTGCCTGATGCTGTCCTTCCTCAGAGAGCAGCGGAACATATTCTGACCTTTCTTCTCAAATTCGTCATGAGGGCTAGAACCCTGCGCATCCTGAAATGAAAGATGAGAGAAGCGAAATGCTGCCCCTATCCCCCGCCCCCACCCTTTACTTTAGATTCCCCAGAGCGTAAAATGGCCTGGGCATATTTCCTGGGTGTAATCAGAATGTTAGGAAAGCGATCTTCAGGGATGTAATTAAATGTCTTAACCCTTCCTTCAGCTGCCTGGCCTCATTACTGACGCCGATTTATCTTGCTGAGTGGGCCAGTGGAGTTGAGTGTGTGTGAATGGATGTCTGCGTGAGGTGAGATGCTCTTGGCTCCCAGAGTCATGATTTATTCAAGAGCCCCTCGCTGAGTCAGATAATGTAATTGTACGGTTATCCATCCTCTGGCGAGGACCTCCCTATTACTGTCCATTACTGGGGGGTAAGATAGGTTCCCGGGCCCTGATTCAAGCATCCTCTGAATGCCATTCTAAGCCGTAGAATCTAAGAGATGGTGTTCTATCCACCAGCCAAGTCTGGTCCTTATAGACACCATAGCAATGCACATTGAAGCACTGGCAGTCTTGGGTGAGCACCAAGGCTTGCCAAAGGAGGGAAACTGTCAGAGCAGAGGAGGCAGAAGGTGCAGGTAGGGCTGCGAGAGAAGAGATTTTTGTCGGGAGCACAGCATGCAAGGAAAGGAAACCTTTCTTGCATGAATCTCTCTCTCACA